TTAACGCATTTTTCCTGATTAGACGGTCAACTGTTCCTACGAGGCTTAGAAGAGGAAATTTAAATGCTATCTAAATAATGAAGTCGCAGTCAGGAAAGTCCGTAGAAATGGGAGTGAACTTCTTCTTTATTGAAAATACCCTTTCCTTGATATTTGTTTTCTCACAAATTTATCTGCCCTTCAGTCGATTTGCCTTTTTTTATTGTAATTATAATTATACTTTATTTAGCTTGGGTAGATGATTATGACAGAGCCATGTTGTATGAATTATTTAAACGTGTTAAGTTCTCTTGTACTACATCTTGATCATTCAAGTTCCACAGTTTACAACGTCATTATCCACATATTTCCCTTATGTGCCATGGAGTCGTCGCCCCAGATCTCTTGTCGGTCATATCACTTCTGGCCCCGATGTAGCGGCACAACAGTTCAAGATTCCTCCTAGTCTGACAGAGAAATAAAAATAACTTTACAGTCATGTCGACATTCTTTGTTTTAGATCTCTAAAAAAAACGTCTCTTACTTTCAAATCGGTAAGGTTTTAACAATAAATTAATAATTAGGAACAAAGAATTCTTTACTTCCGAGATAAGTTATTTCTGAACTTCGTGTGTGGAAGAAAAATATATCAAGAAGGCAAACTGAAAGAAAGGGGCAAACATTCACCAACCCACGGCCTGGCCAGTACCTTACGCATGCGCTCAGCCATATCACCCGGGCAGTGGCAGCCATGGACAGCTGTTTTACCCTTATTTGAGCTCAAAAGCATGGCATAGCCTTCAGTTCTATGAAAGAGCAAACCCGTGTTTCAAAGACCCTTTACTGCCGAGGCGAGTGCAAACAAGCAATTCAGCAAATAGCTTGATTAGAGCCTTAGGCAGCTGTTTCGCCTTTAATGGACCGAATACGCCCACTGAATCTCACCAAGGTCTGTCTGTTGCATAAACTTTGGCCTGAATTTCTTTTTAAGCTGTGTTTCATTGGATTGGTGCCACCAAACGAACTGACACATCTTTATAAGCTAGTTTTGCCTAGGTTCAATGTAACTTAAACAACTCCCTTTAATTGACTTTCCACTAATTCGCGATTCTCTAATATAAAGCGTTGTTTTTTTCTCGATAGGCTGATAACCATCCACAGCTGTAAATGATGTTTTTTTTACTTACGAAGGAGGGGATAATTAAAGACATGTCTTTGGGAATTTGTGCAGGTGTTGCTTTATTGACTGGTGATGTATTTTAACAAAACACTTTCAGCAAACTGTTTCATCCATTTAATCGAATTTGACAACAAATATAGAAAAAAGAACGTCCCTAAGTCAATGAAATTTTTAATAAACCGGACGAGAAACCCTTGATGAAAAAGAAAGAAAGAAATATTCAACTTTCATGAGGAATTCTTCTTATTATCTCAGTATGATTTTGTATCTGCAAAGCGACTGAATTTCCCATGAATTTTTTTCGGATAAAAGTCAGAACTCAGACACTAATTTCTAACAAAAATACAATAAAGTAGGTGGAAATTATTTACAACGATTTTACCGATGGGCAATCTGTGTGTACAAACAGAGCTTTTGTTACTAGATTATTATGACCGATGTGAAGGCACTTATTAACATTCTTTTTCCTTGGGAATTAAATTGCAAGTGTTAGTACAACTGGTACATGAACATTTTTTTGAGAAGTAGTTGATTTGTATCGGCCGGCCGCTACCTTTTCTCTGAATTATTTCTTACTGATAAAAAAGTGAACAAAATTTTCATAAAAACTGTCCTCACGAGAAAACAGCTTAAATCTATTTAATAGCTTTGCCATGGTGCTCCATTTACAAGTTATTTCAACTTATTTTATCTCGTTTTTATTGACTGAAGTATCATGAAAACGATCGAGATCGAGTCTCTCCATTCACTGGTTTGTCACCCCATCCAAATACTGAATCATTTTCATTACTGAAGCAAGTCAACTCCTACCTTCAACACCTGGTTTTTCCAATTTTGATTGAACGCACGCTTTTTCCCTAATCCCATGTTTCCAATTCCAGCCGAAAAAGAAGCTGATTCCTGAATGGTCGCCCATACCAAGACCACAGCGATTAAAACACCTCGCAGATTCATTTGTAAAATCGTTCGTTTCTCTTCCTTAACTTTTGACTCAAAGGAAACGACGTTGGTCTCTTGTGTTTGGATGCGTTCTGAAAGGGATTGTTTGAGACATGTTCGCTTTGGGCAGATCAGGTGGGCGGAAATTAGCTTTATTGTTTATACCAGCTCCTTTGATAAAAACTGTATTATATTCCGGCTATAGTGAAAAATTTACACAAAGGCATTTTGCACTTATATTTATTAAATTTTAGCACTCTATAAAGTTCAGGGAAATCTCAAAGAGCAAAGAGAAAATTTGTTACCAAAGTATGCCGTACTGTCTTGTTAGTGCTAGGCACTGCTGGAACATTGGGTAAAATATTTCTTCGTTCCTGAAGGAATAAAATACTTTGTTAACCAACTAAGCATTTTTTCTCAGACAAAAACTTTTAAACTATTGTTTCCTGGAATAATTTTCCACTCGTTGGGCGCAAAAAGTTGTTTTTGCCCTCTTTGTTTTAAGAAGAGTATTTTCGTCATGAAATTATGTTTTCACTACCCTTTGCAAATAATTGAATAGCTTGCTTTTAGTTTCTTATATTTATTGCTAAGCCTTCAGTCTCACATAAAAATGAAATAAAACAAAAATAACACAAATCAATTTTTAACGCAGACGTTAAAAAGGGTTCTTTTGTTACACACAATCAAAACAAGAATCGACATGTAATCTAAGCTAACGAAACAATATGACTATCCATAATTTAGGATAAGTCAACGAAATGTTCTGAAGATGTTTTCTGTGACTTATTTCCACGACATTTTGATGAAATTACAGTTTTACTGTATGCAAGACTTTACTGCCGGGCGATAGGAAAGTGTCAAACCGAGAAACCAAAGTTTTGGATTGGCGGATTTTAGTTATCGCCCCTTCATAAACTTTTGTCGTGCGATAATGTTTTTTTTATTTTTAAATTGAGTGGTTGTAAATCATTAATGACTTGGAACTTAGATTAGGGCATCTTTTCAAACAGATTTTTACAAAACACAACAACGGTCCTCGCGCTCGATCTTTGAAGAAGAATGGGTTTGCATTATTAATTTAAACACTCCAAAAAAATTGTGTAGGTTCTGCCAAAAGACATAGTAACATTGTTTTGGCAGCTGATATTTTGAAAACCGAAAGTTTTTGTTTTAATTTGTAATTAATAATTTGTTGATCCAGAAAATTCAGAATTTTATAATTTACTACTTACTTTACTGAGAATTCTATAAAAAATGATACAAAATTTCAAGGAAAAAGGCAGTGGGGAGGGGGTGGGGGTGCTATCCCCTAGGACTATCCCTAAATCCGCCCAAGGGCAGTGACGAAATCATTGTTAATAATATTACCGTATTTATTCGATTAACCGCCCTGGGCGCTTATTAAATTTTTGGACCTTGAGAGTGGGCACTTGTTCAAGGTGGGCGCTTATTCGAGGATGGGCGCTTATTAAATTTTCAACATTTTCAGCAAGTGTAGTATGTTTATGTTGCAACAAAACAATAAATGGTAATGATAAAACTCAAAGATGAAACAAAGCAAGGTCTCTGTAAAATACTCTGAAGAAAACTCCGTCTTCAGGGAAGTCTCTTGTTAGTACTTTTTCAATTTTTTTGGGGTGGAAGGGGAAAGGGGGGTGGGGTGGGGTGGGCGCTTATTAACTTTTTCTGCCTTTAGGATGAGCGCTTATTCGAGGTGGGCGCTAATTCGAGGTTGAGCGCTTATTCGAATAAATACGGTAGTCCATGTTTTTCGCCTGCTTTGCAAGCACAAACAAAACATCAAAATTTCTTCCGGTCTGACGCACCCCACTAACTGATAACGTCAGGCTACTAAATAAAAACCAGTTAATGAAGATCAGGCCCTGTTAGCAATAATACGACGAAAATTAGAGTTTGGCGTCTGCACAAAATTTTGTAATCACCAATCTTTCGTTTTTGCAACCTTGTTCGCATCTGAGACATGCAACGAAATTTTTGGTATAACCAGAAATGTCAATAAAAGCCGGTGAGGAACTCTAATTCTGTAATTGGTCATGTTCGCGAAATACTGATGACCCGACGAAGGAAAGCTGTCACGAACCAAAGGACTTTTGTCGCCTGATAAAAAATTGTAGGCCTCCAAATATTCTCGACGGCATCTTTCAAGTTTAGTGACAGTTGAGAAAATTTTGGTACGTGAAAAAAAACGTTTGCACTTGAACGGGCTTCCTGTTGACAAATACAAATTGTTTTGGCAAAACAAAACAAAAATTGCGTATGGTGCGAACAGGGTTTAACTATTGCCCATCTAAAGCAGTCCCCGGCCCAACTCCTCCTAGCTCCTTCAACTGTTTCTTTCGACAGCCAAACTTTGACGATTTTGGCGTTTACCTCAGTCTATAATTCGATAACTACGGTACCCTTTTAGAGAAGCTTAAGTTTGTCCACTAAAAATGTTTTTATAGTTTCAAGTTATTTTAATTCTAAAGATAAAACTGTGAAATTCTTGTAAACTTGGGTCAGTAGAAAATTTAAATAACGCGCTCCAAATTTTTTTATATTTACATTTTTTTTCAGCGCAATATAAACTGAAAATCTCGTGGTTGATTTCAGAAAAACGTTCGAAACCGACATAATTGTCAGCACTGTATTTAAAAGCAAAGTCCGCAATGATACCGGATCGGATGTCTGCGTAAACATCACTTGAGTCCAACGGAATGTCCTTGTCTAGGCTAACACCTTGTGTTTGAGCAGGCGCAGTTCATGGAGTAAAACCATTGTTCATAAATTCCATGAAAGCATCGTTCATTATGCCAGCTGGCCACAGGTTGTTAAAGTCGAAAGGATCTTCAGAGCCTGGATTATATATTTTTCCAGCCAGGGCTTCCAGGTTCCCTGCTTAGAATTCCTTTTGCCTCATTACGTATTTCATCGTTTCAACCACACCTCTGATTGCATCAAGCATACGGTGTCTCATGTTCGGCTCAGGATTCAGCCGGACCTTTAAGTAGATCGCATCCCACAACCCTTCAAGCACCTCCTTGAGCTCCATATCGTCTAAGTTGTGCTTTGCGATCATTTCCTTGACATCCCAAACTAAGGTTTTTTCGACAGATTCGAGAGCTTCAATAGTTTCGAAATGGGCGTCGAAAGCTAAACTGATCACCTGTAAGCTTATACCCAGATATTCATCTTTCAAATCGTGAAAGCAATTGCTTGGTCCTGCGATGGTTACTGCATTGGTGTCGTCCTTGAGTGCTTCTGCTTCCTGCCCATATCCTTGTTCTGAAGCCGTTTTGGCCTTTGGTTTGCTGCCTAAATTGCTTTCCTCTTTAGTTAGTGTTGCTTGATTTGAAAGCGCCTCCTTCTGAATCAACTCCTTCGCGAACTGCATCGTATTTTCCAAAATCGCCTCAACTTTTCTTGCCAGTGTCTCAAGAATCTCGGGATCATCCACGTAGTCAACACCAAATAAGTTGTAAGATCTTACAAAGAAGTGCGGCAATTCTTTCTTTCTGAGAGCTTCTAGGAGGTTTGTTAACAGCTTCTCCACGCACTCGACTCGGTTACTTTCGATCCACAGTTCGGCACCGGTTTCCTCGATTGTTTGCAGAAGTAGGTTCTTCAAGTGAAATGTCAGCAAACTCTTTGGATCCTTGAGAAAGGCACGATGAAATTTCTTCAGGCATCGGTAACACTCACGCTGGATGTCATTCATCGCTTGGCTTAACAGGTATTCTGCATGGTTAAAGGCAATTCTGAAGTCACATTTTGGATTTCCGCCATCTTTTGGAGGCTTTACCACTAAATGGAAGCCGTCGTGAACAACTTTGTCGACCACGTGATGGGAAGGCCATTTTCGTTCTCGTTTGAGCCAATCTCGTGCAACCTGCGGCCATCCGGTGCACCTGAGAGCGGGGACGAAATCCAATCCACCCGCAATTGGTTCATTTTCAGCTCCCCGTACATCTTTTTTCCTCCACGGACCCTCTCTTTCTTTATCCAATCCCAACAAATGGTCGACAAGGACGCTGATCTCTGTTTCAATGTCGTTCATAAACTGCAGATGGCTTAGTTTGCCTTTTTCTGATAAGGGCTGTTGTTCTGTGTCAGCCGTCTCACTCTCACCAGTTTCGCTGTCGCCGGTCCAATCCTTTCTTCTCCTTTCTTCGTCCTTCTTTAAAAGTAGTTCAGTTACTTCCTTTGACATGGCCTGACACAGTTCTGCTAAACCTCCCGCTTTTGATTGATCTACGATGGCTTTTAATTCCTTGGCAGTTTTTTGGCTGAAATCTCCACTCCCTTTGCTTTCGTTTTGTGTTAGCTTTTTTTGCATTTCGAGAAATTTTGTCAAGAGGTGCCAACCGCGATCGCTTGATAACATGTCTAGCATCAAGGCCCTTGGATCGTCAAAGAGACCCTTTTCACGCCAGGACGTCTTACTCTCATTAACAAATGCTATGTACTCGTAGAAAATTTCAGCCATCTCTTTTGTGTATTTAAGTCCTTTGGCCGCTAAAAAATAGTGAATAAGCCATTCATATTCGGTAGGGTCCAACTCAGACATGTCAGGTTCCATCCTTCCAGAAAGAGGACCAAACCATTGCGTGTATTCCACCTGAGCAGCCGGGCGGGCCTCTTTGTTTTTAAATTCCGCATCGACATCTTGGCCCGATTTCCCTCGACTTGCAGCCTGACAAAAGCTATCGATAAGCTTAAACCAATAGGATGCTGATTTTCCGTAAATTAAGGGATGCAAATTCTTGATGGCTGAAGTGGCGACGTAAGGCGTGTCTTCCACAAGACAGGACTGTAAGAGAGGATGATCCCTTCCTTTAATTCTAACATGCAGAGGGTGCTGGGGTAAATATTCGATCATTTCGTCGTGAATCAACAAATCTTCCGATTTGGAGGTGATCACAATATCCAGATCTCCAACATCATCGGCTGCTAAGCTCTTCAAGTCTTCCACGGCGCTTCCATAAGGTCGAAACAGGAAGCAATTGTCAAGCTGGGCATGGTTGAGATATTCCGGTATCAGGTGGCACACGTTCACCAATACATTTTCAGTGTATTTCTTCCAACATTCACCCTCTTGTCCTCGATCTCCTAACATCTTGAAGATACCGTGAAGATCCTCAGTTTTCCCTGCAGTCGCCATCATTTGTCTTCGGGTTCAAATGGCTTCACACGATCTGACTCACATATATATAGGGAAATAAGGGGATTATATTTCAACCTTATTGTTAGACTGTTACTTAAATCTTGGCTTTGAGTTGGCTTTGACAGAATGTGTTTCTTAAATTAGCAAATTATTCTTGTGAACAGCTTGGAAAGTGAAATTTGACCGTATTTTGTTTTTCAATAAAGGTATAGGTATAATTTATAATCCCAATTGAATTAAGAGGAATATTGGTCTGTAAAAATCAATATTTCACACCAAAATTACACGGCAAGAAGTTCAGTTAGTAAGCACTTTATAAAATCTATTTTGTAGTAACTTAATTTAATCATTGCCAGAGTACAGACTTTTTGTCAGCCGCGCCAATATCAGGGAGTTTTATTCTCGGTTTTCAGCTGAAAACAGTGGAACTGGAAACCCTTTTACGTCTCACTAATGCAAAACAGAAACGCTGTGATTTGAAACATAAATTAAATGCGATCTCTGATCCAAAAGATCGGAATTCGTGCCAGATCACTCTTCTGAGAGTTCAGTGGACTGCAAGGATGAAAATAACTGTTTATTCACGAAGGAAACTGAAGGAGATGAAGAGGTCAACCCTGTCTAGTTCGTCTCCTAAAACATATGAATAAAATAAAATTAAATATGAATAACCTATTTACATTCTGTTATAAAATACAAAAATATTCTGCCGCTGGACATGTCTAGATAATTTAACATTCGGCTGAAACACTGGTTATAAAATAACGCCAGATTTTATTCTTAAAAATGTTCAAGTCTTCCTCTCAGCGATTTCTTTAGGTAAATTATTCCATTTATCAATTATGCAAAGAAAAAAAGAGTGTTTAAGCCTATTGAAAGTCGTGAAACAGACTTAAGTTAAAAGCGGTTGTTAGTTCTTAAAGGTCGAAAGTCATGCGCAAACGTAAAAAAATTTGAAGGACCTAGTCCATTCAGGCTGTTTATTGTCTTATAATACTACGTGAGCGAAGAGAATAATCTTCTTTGTTGAAGTGACGCGCTCTTCGTAAGGCATGTCACGCCCAACGATAACCATTGATTTTAAAATGGACGTAATAAAATAATAATTTAACATGCTCAACTTGCGCAAAATTGCATCCAAGCTGTTTAATCTTTGAGCGAGGAGAATCTACCTAAAATTAGGCACCAAACATTCGTACTTAGAAATTGCATACCTTTAGGACTTACAAAATTTTTGTTGATACCCTCGCATGGAAAAATTGACCTAGCTCAATGTAGCTAGTTACCACATCACGGCTAGCTTGCCAGGTGTTATCGATGTACTGTTCTTACAACCTGCTCATAAAACTCTGTCATGTTGCTTTCTGTTCTTATACTTACGTTAACGGAATAATGCGTTGTGTAAACCCCATAAGGTGTCCAACCCGATGTTATCTAATGCTAACCTTAGAGAATTACTACGCTAACGATTGTAAAAGAAAAAGGTGAAGGCCACTAAAGCTATCGAAACGATATCTGAGAGCACCCGATGATCGAAAGAAAAACGTAACCCTTTGAACCAAATTTTTTATGGGGAAAGTCGAAGCTGCAAACTGGCAACGAGTTTTTGAAATTCACTTTCGAAGTCGAAATTAATATATCTCTCTATACTTTATCACCTAACTTATCAGTTTGCTACATCGATCGATGGAAATTACCTGCAACCCATAACTTATCATACGGCTTCATGTTCAAACAAAAGAGTATTTTTTTTGCTGTTATTTTCATTACTAGAAATACTGCATTTGGACTGGGAAGCAAGGATAGTAAACTATTGAAAAAAAATGAGAGATTAAAAAGTCATCATCTTAATGCGAAAACCCGTTGTTTCAAAACGCAGAAACTTAGCAGTGGCGTTGAGATTGAAAGAAAAAACGAGCCTACCTTTTTGGGTGAAGCGATCTGCAGATAACAGTTTGGCGTCGTTTTTATGACAACAGTATTTCTTGAAGCAGAAAAATTATTGATGGGTCTCTAACCATAGTTTGGTTTTTGGAAAATTGAGGCCCCTTGCTAAGGTCTTATAGGGGAATCCGTTTTATTTACGACGTAGAAATAACTGCTGAGACCTCCCTCCTTGAGTCTACCTGAAAAACCCACGAGGCTGGCTAAAAACAGCTTCAACTTCCCGTTTCTCTGGTAAAAATTAAAATTTCAATTAGTTATCACTGTACGTTTATCTTCCCGTAACAAATGTATCAAATACTTCAATAGTTAATTGTTGTTTTAACTGGGACCACACGGAAAAGTGTTGCACGCCAACATTGCTACTGAAAATGTATTTCGTTCTCACCTGTAGTATATGATTTTAGTAGAAGTAATGCTCAAGTTTGAAGTCTAAATTCAATTTTAGATGACTCCATTTCTTTTAGTTTAAGTGATACAGACTTCCGTGTTTTGTCGATAAGTGAGGTCAGCAAAGGCTTTTAAGAAATCAGGAACAAGACTCGCGGTTTCCTCCTTTTCAGCTGATATGATAATTCTAGTGTCATATTTAGCCACTCCCAGTTCCGCATGGCGGACGGTTTTAGCTCATTTAGTACGATAAAATAATCTACAGGACACAGTTTAAAGTCTCCTTCCCTCAACGCGTGTTAGGTTTGGGTTTTCAGAAAGATGGAAAATTTTGTCTAACATCCAACTTTTAGAAACGCTAACAGTGAGAGTTTGCGTGCTCGCTTTTGAAATGTTTGAAATAGTAAATATCTTCAGCATAACAAGTATCGAAAAGAACCCAAAAATTCTGCTTAAGAGGATGGTCACACTTCAGGATTTCATCCAGAAAAGACTCAAAATTTAAAACTTGAAAACCACTTGAAGAGCATAACAGTACCAAAGGAAAGTACTACTCACTAACTTTCATTTGAAAGGTCTCACTTAAGAATTTTATCTACAGACTCAAGAGTTAGAACGCCTTCTTTAACACGAACACCTCCTCCTTCCCTCCCCCGACCGTTTTTAATATCAGGAAAGCATCGTTTAGCAGCCTTTAACTGAATGGTCACATTTGAGGATGTCGTGCAAACACTCACTGGAACCATGATCCCTCAACATAAAAAGCTGCCACTCCCGTAAAGACTAAGACACATTTTAAAACCAGTGATTTGAAGTCTACTTGTAAAAGGTTTAGCTAGTACTCTGTTTAAAATTATTATTTCAAACATATTATATTGCCGAAGGCTTAAAACATTTTTCAGGATTAACATTTATGTCAAGGACGCAACCAGTGTAGTCAGGATGCTAAAAAGGACGTAATTAGCTTTTAAAGCATGAAATAGATACATTATGCAGAACAAAAAATAAACGAAACCACTTTGTCCCTTTGCAATTTCAAAATCTTTCAATCACATTTATTTCCATATTGTATAGAATGCATGATATGTAGAATAAAGTCTATAGAGGAGTTTATATTAAGGTGATATGACACACATGTTTTTGGTCAAGTGAATGTCTCTCTCGTTAAGGATATATTCAAACTCAAGATCCCCTGAAAAACAATGGCTGGGTGAAAGTAGTTAACGCAGATGTAATGTGGATTACTCGAACAGTTTCCGAAATTCAAAAGACCCAGGAAATTCTTGTAGGAGAAAACTTAAGATACAAATACGATTTGCTTTAGAAACTTAGTTGCAAAATTATTTTTTTGCAGAAAAGAAATAAAATAGTCGATTAAAAAAGATTTTTTGGTAAAGTTGAAGTTAAAACAGAAATGCAAATTAGGGCAATACTTTATTCATGGGCCTTATGGTTCTTGTATCAAAACATCAAACTCCTTGCCCACCATTAAATTTCAAAATGCAAATTTAAACATATTTAATTTTAACGTTTTCTGCAAACTTTCTATTTTCTGACAAAGAAAATCTTAATTTTCTATGCTAGAGAATTCTCGCTGATATAAAAAGAATTACCACGCGCGGGTGCTGTGGGTGCTTATGAATGTGTCTTCTTGATTATCAAAACATAGCGTACTTTTAAAGTGCTTCAATCCACTTTACCCGTACTTTGCAGGAAATGAGCACTTAAACGTGTTGTTTGTTATCATAAGAGTCTTTCGCTGCAGTGAAGGGCATTTTTGCTAATTATGAAATTTAAACTCAGGAAGACACATTCGCTACAGGATAAAAGAACCTTGGATCGTAACTTCGAAACAGCGGGAACATATGCTTTGATCTAAAGCATGGATTATAAAACGGCTCTTGTTATATGTATTTTAGCTTCTTCCCATACAGAAAGATCAGGATTAGGAAGGTTTTGCTAAACGTTACTATATTAAAATGTGGTTGGTTTCATGTTAAGGCATATTTGCTTCATAAAACATGTTCCATTCAAACCAATTCGGTATCTTTCCATCAACCAAATATATGAAAAAAGATAGTGTACATGTTTGTCTCGTTCTTAAAACACGTGTCCCATTACTGCTACACGAGGTGGGACCAGAAATTTGGAAAATTTATTGCTTTTTCCGCTGAAACAACCATTCACAATTCTCACTACAGTATGTGTTCCATTAAATTGTGAGCCAAAGATTATCCGCATACGGGCCACTTTAGGTCTGTTACTTATAACAGAATCCAGCATTGCCTCGCTAACGTGCTACAGCTTCTTTGAACTAATTCTGTATCTTTTCACATCAACCAAATACAGAAAAAGATAGGGTGCATGTCTGCCTCGTTCTTAAAACATGTCTCCCATTATTGCTAGATGAGGTGGGGCCAGAAATTTGCAAAATTTACACTTTTTTCCAGTGAAACAACCCTTCACAATTATTCGCCAATGCGTGCATTTTTGAACATATCTCGATTTCCCAGGATTACCCCCTCCCGGGAATTAGCATTGCACTGCTGATGATAAAGACTTTTAGTGTACATATTCTTGTACGTTATTGGTATTTATTACCATAGAATCCCGATTTTTCGAGCCCTCGGTTTCTCGAACCTCCCGATAACTCGAACCACAGCAGA